CCAGTTCAAACCATCATAGAGTGTTCTATACAATCATTTCACACTGCCTTTGTAGCTGATCATCCACTCCTTTAAATTCTGATCACTTGGGGAAGCCTATCTTTGCATATGAATGTGTTATTGCATGATGAATATGCAGTTCCAGATTTTTGTGGCTGTGATTTTTCTTCTATGATAAACAACTCTGTGGTGTGCCTAACTCTGTGGTTTGCCAAACCTTTTTCCAAAATTAAATTTCATAGATACAGTAGTAGCTGGGCATCCCCACTCTACTGATACCCTATACTTGTACACAGATACAGTACAGATATGCTTAAATATGCAATGACCAGCCAAATCTCTCCCCCTCCCCACATGAGGCCTATCTGGAAATGCTGGTACCTTGTGCATCTAGCAGAATGGACCAAGGAACTCTGCCCAGATATTTCTGTTGAGCCAACAAGATTACTAACTTGAGTTGTTAAACATGATATGCTTAAGACATAAAACTTTGCTGGTTCAGGGCAAAACACTATGCAAATATAGTTCCCAGTGGCACCTACGCCAGTTGCCAGATGTCTTCTAAGTGTGCAGATGGGGATGAGGTGTCAGGGTTGGACAGGGGAAATTTGGAATCAAATCTCCACTCAGCCATGGAGCTCAGCGGGTGATCCTGGGTAGTCACAATCTCACATGATTGTTGCAAGGATAAAACGGGACCGACGAACAATGTAAAGCACCCCAGGCAGTCAACTGCAAAGCTAAAAATATACTAACTCGGCTAACTAACTAGCAAAACAGACACACCTTGGGTTTGGGCTGAAGCAGAGACACACCATGAACATTGGCAAGAACTGCCCTCTCGTTGCCATCACAACAATGAGTCTACACAGCTCAAACGTTATGGAAAATGTAAGAGAAGAAGCTGTCATGGTGCCTAGACTTGACACCTTCAAGGTAACCTACCTTTCGCACAGTGACCAGAACAAAAAAGAAGGAAACAAAGGGAAATTTGCTCTTTGCCCCTTGAAACTGTGCTTGCTGTTTGCATGTAATGAACGGAATTTATATAACAAGATTGAGTCTGAAAGCATAGGAGTATATTAGGCTGCTTCACATATACTGAGACAGACCACAGGTCCTTCCACCTCACCACTGCCACCCTGGCCAGCAGGGGTTTGTGGTGGTTTACTTAAGGACATAAGACATAGGGTCTTTCCCCACATATATTTCCCCACTCTTTACTGTTAAAGAAGCCTTTCTCTGGGCTTGTTCCCTGCATAAAATAAAACCAAACAGGGTCAATTGTACACCATTGTGTGGCTGCATCCGAATTTTGGAACCAGCTTCCCAGGGTGCCCTTACAAGCATTACAGCACCCCTCTAAGCATGTTTTTTAAAAGGTAAGGTACCCCTGACCATTAGGTCCAGTCACGGACGACTCTGGGGTTGCGCGCTCATCTCGCTCTATAGGCCAAGGGAGCCGGCGTTTGTCCGCAGACAGCTTCCGGGTCATGTGGCCGGCAGCGCACGGAAACGCCGTTTACCTTCCCACCAGAGCGGCACCTATTTATCTACTTGCACATTTTTACATGCTTTCGAACTGTTAGGTGGGCAGGAGCAGGGACCGAACAACGAGAGCTCACCCCGTCGCGGGGATTCGAACTGCCGACTTTCCGATTTGCAAGCCCTAGGCTCTGTGGTTTAGACCACAGCGCCACCCATGTCCCTTCTAAGCATGTTTACTCAGAAGTAAATTCCTCTACATTCAACTTAATCTCTGCTTAAGGGCATTTAGAGTTGCAGCCTGAAGCGCAAACATAACTCCCTTTTATTTTCTTGTGCATTGCAAAACTTCAAATTCCGTGATGTAATTTTCCACTTCCGTTGCCTCAGTTACCTACAGCACATTCCTATACATGATTATGCAGAAGCAAGTCCCACCATGTTAAGTGGAACCTAAGTCCAGGTAAGTGCATAGGATTGCAGTCTTAGCTTTCTTTAGAAATCAGCTTAAATGTTTTGTGTCCCTGTTTTTAAGAGAAAGGCCATTTGCAGCATTTTATAAAGGGCATGCATGCATTAGCGGCTGAAAACACAAAAGGGTCATTTTCCCTCCGCTACATTTCAAGGTGCATTTTACATTGCCGTACACCCCATCACTCAATTACCTGACTGGTTTCCCGACACCTGCAACCCCTGTAAACTCCTATTCAATGAAGCTGTCCTCTGCACATGTGCAACGGTTGTTTCAAATGGACACACCTCAGCTTCACTGCAGCTTACATTTTTTTAACCTGATGGAAGCTGCTTTGAGGGTAAGCACATCATTCAGAAGTATTTCTCAAGAAACAACAGGATACCTCCGGACTGGGGCCAACGTCATTTGCACTTAGTTTCAAACACCAGCAGTGGGAGCACATGGCAGCCGGAGTAAACACTAATGTGTACACAACAAAAGGAATGAAAGGAAAAGATAAATATGCATTCCTGGGTTTCATCTAGATTTTGCTATCAGCATACAAGTCAGCTGGGGTGGCAATTTTAAGCAGAGAATAATGAAGCACAAGGGCAACCCTCTAGACACTTGGGTGACTGTAGCAACAGGGGAGCAAACAGCCAGTAATTAAAATGGAATGGGGGTGGCAGAGAACCTGAATGGATTGACTGACAGAAAGCCTGATCCCATTTATTCCTCCGGTGTTTCTTTCTGTTCCGTTTATTACCTCTGGATTTTCTTTTCTTTCTTTTTTCCTTTACAAGCTGAATGACTCACACATTCATTCCACTTAACAAGTGGTTTGGATTCTATGGGCTGCTGCTACATGCGCTTGGCAGCTTGTGCTTTTAAAATCCGCCTGAATTTTGTGATCGCTGGTAATTCCTTACATGCCCCAGAAGATACACATGTAAAACAGAAATGCAAACAGAAAGCATATTTGCTAGCCTTACGTTTTATTCACCCTGAAATGCAGGCGTTGGCAACAAAGTCGAGGGACACCCCCCACACACACACACCCCTTTTTTTTTTTGCAGAAATACAGACAATTGACTACTCAAATGACACATGGGATCATCAGTCTATTGGCACACAGCCAACATGCTATTTGAGACCTTCTAAAGAGAATGTTTCAATGGTTAACACACAGCTAGACACTAATTATGCAGTTTTGCTCTGAAGTGGGTAAGTGACAAAAATCAACAGCAGCGTTTGGAGTCTATCCAGAATGTGCAGCAACCCAGGCTCAAAGATGATGAAAGATTCAGTTTGCATCCATGCCCAACACAATGTTGATAGGAAACTTTCATATATATGTTTCCCCACTCCACATGGACATCTGGGTCAGGATGCCCACCAATATTAACATGCATTCAGCACGCTTTGATCATACCAGTATACTCGCTCCCAAAGACACCTGATTAGCTTCAAAGTCAAGTGAATCCATGGACATAAGGACCTGCTTTAGATCAAATGGGACCAGTGGTCCATCTACCTCAGACGTCCATGGTTCACTGGTCCCAGAAAGAGCTCTTCACTGCTCTCACAAGTGGATGGGGATATTAACATTCAAACCTAACACTCCCACTTGGTTCAAGGTAAAGACACATTCCTTCCTGACAGTTCAAGATCTTTCACATTTAACATTTTGCAGTCATAAAAGTTGCCACTCTTAGGGCCACTTCAAAAATGTGCTGGGTTTTGTACACAGATAGCTTCATTTTTCTTTTCTCAAAGCATGCAAACCACATGTTGTATACAATGTAAGGGCAGTCAACAGCTGTTTTGAATTCTGCATTTGTCACTGCGTCCCTCCAAGGCTTTCAGGAACAAAAGACCACATAAATGGACCAAGGAACAGCATGAACAAGGAGACCAGGGGGGTGGGGGGGGGATGATGACAACAGCAAGAAAAACCCCTTCTCACATGGATAAAATATTTTCCTCTGAGCACAGGAGAGGGAGCAGCAAAAAATTGTTTTGAACCTCCCTGGGATCTTCAGGTGTATGGCAGTATACAAATTTAATAAATATTAATAATATTTATTATTAAATATATGGGGGAAACTCTCAGCTCAGCTGATAAAGGAGCAGATACCCAGATGCTTAAACAGTTGAGGTGATTTTAATCTGTTTTAGTATTTTAACTTTGGTGTGTTTTTAAGTATAGTTGTACATTTTTTCTTGATTTTATCATTTTACCTTTTTGTAAACCACTTGGAGGTTGTTGTTGCTGCTGCTTTTTACAACCAAACGGTGTATAAATGTTATGAAATAAAAACAAAATGTGCAGGTGACCCTCTTCTCCTGCCCACACACTCCAGACTTGTGCTATCAGGCCAGCTGATGTTAAGTGGCACATCAGCAACATGGTGTGTGGAAGTCATATTGAACAAAACGTGCAGACAAGGGGTAGTCAACATGGGGCCCTTCAGATGTTGTTGGACTCCCATCTACCCAAGCCAGCATGACTGAAGATGGAGGATGATGGGAATTGGAGTCCAACAACATCTGGAGGCCCAGCTCCCATTTATATTCTTGGGAAACCACTGCCAACTGCGGCTTCCTTGCATACGTGCCTTCAGTGAAAGACACAGTTAATGATGTTTGCAAAGTTTGCAAAAATTTTCTATTAGGGATGTGCTACTCATACAGAGGTTTTATCATCTCAGAAGCAGCTCTACTAGCCGCTTGAAATGCCTCTCTGTATATCCTCCTGAAGGCATTCCCATTTCAAAAAATAAAAGGATCCAGTGAATACTCAGAATTACATTTGTGCTAAAGCACCTTTAAACTTTTCAAAGTCAAAGAACATGCCACCCTTTAACCTAAATAACCAAGCATGCTTTATAAACGTTGGTAAGATCAGACCTAAGGCAGAACATTAAACTAAGCAGATCAAGCAAGGCAAGTTAGGAAGATGAAGCCATAATTTCCTTTCTTGCTTAGTTACTGGCGTAAAAGGAACGAAGACAATGTTCTACAATAACATTTGCCTAGGAATGTTTATCTGCTTTCTTACCATTGAATGTTAAGAACACCCTGGCCTGCGGCAGCGAAGATCCGTTTACAGTGCAAAAGAAAATAAACAGCCCAATCAACACTTGGAGACTTAGAAATGCCATTATCTTCAGATGCAAAATGTAATATCCAAGATATGAAACCTAAAACAAAGCACAGGGAAAGAGAGAGAGAGAGAAAGGTCATTGGAGATTCTGCACATTTTGCAAGATACAACGTCCATAGTATGCAATGTCATTGGAAAGCATGTTTGTACCATTTTCTCTAAAATGAGAAAATCTTGGCACAGGCAGCAGCAAAATAAAAAAGCACTGGAAGTAAAAAAAAAGGGGGGGCTGCAGTAAGGATTAGTCTCAGTTTATTTCAATAAGGATGATTCCCACCTGCTGGAAAAATAATTACGTTAAATGTCAAGGCAGAGCAAATCAAGGCCAAGAGATCAGGTTTCATGAATGAAAACGTCTTGATATTTTTAGACCTGTCTTTACTGTGCTCTTTTTCAAACATATATATACGTATGTCTAAAGGACCTACTCTGCTTGAAGAGACCACAATAAAAACTTTGGGGTGGTGTTAGCATTCTATAAAACAAAGGACAGAAAAACTCCTCCAGGCAACGCATGCAGCCCAGTTCTGTCTGGAGAGCTGGAGCAGGATGACTAACTAAGGGCCTCCCCATCCATGCTTTTGCACAGGGTACAAGTGACACCTGAGAAGGCTGGAGGCAGAAGGAAGATTCTTGGCTGGCAGGCTGCCTTTCACCCAGCAAAAGGCACCGGTTAAGGGGCCCTCCTTCAGGAATCTTTGCCTCCCAAAGCCTGGAACTGGCACTGAAAGCGTGCGCTCCTATAAAGCCAACAAAAGGATGAACACAAACTTTAAGAGCAGAGAGATCATATACTCCAGGCTTGTCTCTTGAGCAATCAGACATCCACTGTGGCTTTGGCAAGATCTATTCTTGAACAGCTCGGCTAAAGACCAAATGTTGCTTCTGCATAAATAACCCCATATCAGTGAAAACTGAACAGCAGAGCCATGGATCGGCGACAAGTATTCAGGCTACTATAATCCATAATACAGATTATGCACATTGCTGGGTAACATGCAAAATGTACATGCAGACTATACATGTTCATTGGGCGATGTACAAAACACCCTGTTGAAATCCCCTATAGATACTGTCAGGTTTTGCATAGTCTCTAGCAGCTTTGATATCTACTTTCTACACAATTATTTTACACAGTGTAGAGAAGCTACTTTGAATGAACATTATCTATTAGCCATGTACATTTTAAAAAAGAAATACAGAGCATCATTTTCACCCAATAAATAGACCATTACAGCCTATATATAAAACAAGGGTGCTAGTTCCTGAGGGCCCAGCCCTTTTGGGGCCCCAAAATATTTTGGGTGTGGGGTTCCAAAAAGCACTGAGGCAAAGCCCAAGCATGGAGTGGCTCCAGTAGTTGTCTCCTTCTCCTTCTCCTCTTGCCGCAGAAGAGAAAGAGGGTCAAAGCAAGCTGCCATCAGTGGCGGTGCCAGGAGGAGGCGGAGGAAGCTGCCAGCCTTTGAAGCTGCACGGCCGCCATGTTCAGCTCCGCCCCCAGCTCCTGCCAATGTCCTAATGTCACACGCACAACACTGCCCCACCCCAGTCACCCTCATAAACTGGCACCTCTGATATAAAATATTGCATATAGCCAGGAATGTGTGGTGGTGAATGACTCATTCATGGGTTTACTCATCCATGGAGTTACTCTTTTGTTTGTGGGTTTTAAAACTCAAAAACTGTAAGCGAAGCAGCAAACGGACTGAAGTCATAGTGACTGCATATTAGGCTGAAGAGCAAGAAAGAAATAACTTACAGCCCTAAGAAACTGACAGAATAGATGCCACTTTGAATTCGTCACACTGGCAGCTAGCCCATTCATTTGGGCTAGTTCACCACATCAATCAGGGGGACTTTCTTTGTCACCGACAACCAGTACAGGGCATGATTAAACCAGCCTCTACGTGGTCACTGTATAACATGCACTGCCCTCAATGCCATGTCACTGAAGCAGATCACATCCCCTGCAGATAGTACTATGAAACAGGAAATGGGTTTCTACGTATTTGGAGAAAAAGAGATAATAGGCATAGAGAGAGACTTGGGAGTCTTAGAGCAGAAGTTTTGCTCATCCACAATGCTTGATGGGTGTCAGTATGTCAATCACCACTATCTCAACCTGATGTGCTTCACCAGTTTGTTACCAAGAAAACCCTCAAGTACACCACTCTTGAATGCGAATGCTTTTAGGACTGATATGGAAAAGGAACAGTTTTTGGCCAAGATTTTAATCACCTCTTAGAAGTGCCCTCAGCCACTTTTTTCCACAGGAGCAGCTGAATAACTGCCTACCATGGTTGCCTATTGAAAGAACGGCAGAATTGCCTGGACTCTGAACTGGCTTTATGATGCTATCAGGTAGCCAACTTCCAACAGGCTGCATTCTGACTCCATGGTGCCATGCTGTTATCAGACTACCTACTTGCTCCCCAACTGGTTGGGATTGCATAACTAGGAAGAAATTGTGCAGGTTTAAACAGAAAAACGGTGTTGAAAATGTGCTGCAAAAGCCAAAAAAATGCTGAGGAATTTCAAGGGATGCTATAGTCCCCTTAAAACTGAGAATTTAACACCAAACATGTTTGCATGTGAAACTCTGGGAATGTTCTGGAGGACTTGCAATGCATGGGACATTGTAGAACATGTGAATATGAAAAAGAGCCGCGCTGGAACTGGCCAGTGGTCTGTCTCGTGTCTTCAGCCTGCCGCTTCTCACAGTGACCACCAATTAGTGCATCCTCCTGGACGTACATGCAGGACCTGTGCAGCTCTTGCTCATTTCAAGAGGCCTTGAGCAAGAGTACTTTTTAGAATAAGGGCAGAATTGATCTCCATTTCACTCACCACATTCCCCTTTGTAATTCACATGTATAATTCAGGCATTGTACACATAAGACCAATGTGTGAGCAGGAATTGGGGCCACACGGAGTAGCCACTCTCCTAGCGTTGCACTTCGTTGTTTAAACCTGGGCAATTTCTTCCCCAACCAACTGGGGAGCAAGTACCTAGAAACTTAACAAGGGAGTCAGCCCTTTGCTCCTGAAATCAATTTGACTTTGGCAAAAATTACTTGGGGAACAAGCCCATTGATTTCACTAGTGTTGCTGCAGAATGCGCTGTTTAAGTGCCCTAAGGTTCGCACCCTTTGCTGCACAGTATTAACTTCCCAGCGCAGCATGCGGGAGCCGAAAGCACTCTGCACCTGCCCCTTAACACTGTGAACATTATACTCCCCAGAGTGTTGACAGCAAGCCATAAGCTTTTTATCCTCATATTACATGGATCATTCACAGCCTCCGTGTTCTACTGGGGCAAACTCAAGGAGATATATTCCCCCCCCCCTCTGTGCACATTTAGACTTCACCGTCCTTGAAGGGAGAGAACACCTGCTTCAAAAGAACCACAGCAAATCCTTTCGCACAGCGTGGCCAAGGAGGGTGGACTGATGTGACCATGGCCAGTGCATGAGCCAGAGCAACAATTTAGGCTGCAGTCTTAATCGCCACACTTAGCAGTGAGTGGGTTGGGGAGTGCGGGGGGCTGAAGCGAAAGGCTCATAATCCCACTTTCAGCCAGCAAATCACTGTGCGCCCTCCATCATTTGAAGGGAGTGACAGGCTGCATCAAAGTGACCTGGAGAGAAATGACGCCTGACACAACCATTTCCAATTGGCAGTGACTGATGGGGACTCCCAGCGGCCCTTGGACCTGCCCACTCAGTTAGAGTGGGATTTCTGTATTCCCTCATGAAGCTGGCACACCCTCAAAATAGCCCTGTTCGTTTCCTCCCATTTTATACCTGGGGTTCAGCAAAAGCATCCATTTGGAGTCAAGTTTCTCACCTTACTTTCAAATAACGTTATCAGAAAAATGCACAAATATCACAAGGAAGAAAAAAATGTCTCAGTGCCAGTATTGACACATTTTCCAAAAAAAAAAAAAAGAGGTTCAGTTTCATCATCATCATCCCCCGCAAAGTACATATCCATCAGCTGATAGGATATCCTTCACTATCATCTTTTTTCTTTTCTTTCTTTGGCAAGGGAAGAAAATGCTATTAAGTCCCATTAAGATTGCTTTGTTCGACCCAAACAAATGGCCAATTACACTGAACTTGCAAGTTTAATATAAGCAACAGGATTAGTATTCCACAGCCGTCAAATGTATTCCTTTTAATATATTAAGGGAGGAGAGTGATGGAATTATGCAATGCGCATTCCAATTATATTGGAAAGAAACAGTGACAACAAGTGCTCTTTCCAATTTATGTATTCTAATTTAATTTAGGATGTGTGTGACCAAATTTTACTTGTTATTTTCTATTTCAGCTTTGCTTTGCTATGCTCCACTGACGATCCCCTACAGAACCAATTCTTTTAACAAACAAATGTGGGCAAGACTGCAATATCAGGCACAAGTTGAAACCAAATGGGGCTTACTTCTGAGTAAATATGGATAGCATCAGACTGGAGGCTGCAGTATTATAGGCATTCACTTTGGAAAAAGCCATATTTAAAGTACAGTGAGATTTACTCCTGAGTAAATATGCAAAGCACCAGTCTGCACGTGACACTGCTATGTTATTACAGCATTGTGTGCCATGTGAATTTGAGAGCAGAAACAGAATTTTTGAAATGGTCTCTTTTTAAAATTCCCATTCTTTCACAGAAAACCATATCGTTTTAATTCACAAAAAAGAAGCATCGCTTTTGAGCTTGCAGCCCAAGTGAGAACTTGATCTTCCCCAAAACCAAGGCAGTAAAATATTCGCATGTGTCTTAATAACGCACGATCTCTCCCGGCAAGCAGGGAGATCCTTGCAGAAGCAGAACGCCCAAGAAAAGGGAGAGCCTTCCTGATCCCAATGCTCATTGCTCCTTAGTTAGCAGACCAGGAGGAGGAGGAGGAGGAAGAAGAAGGGACCTAAGGCGCTGAAGTTCAGGCACTGCTCGCGGGGAAGCGGAGGGGGAAACAGCAACCTTTTGCCTGCTGCTTTTGGAAAGCCTTTTCCAGCTTCACTGGGAAGGCAGGTGTCAGGCGCTCGCGCCGGCACTAAGGGGGGGGGGGGAGAGAATTAGTCTGTGGAAGGAAGAGAAAAATATTCACCCATTCAGCGGCTGTCAGAAGTGTGTGTGTGTGTGTGTGTGTGTGTGTGTGTGTGTACATGCACACAAATATATTTGCACATACACAACGCACACATTTTCTACACAAACACAATATTGGCGTCCACTAGGAGTTTTAAAAAAATCCCAATAACCAGTCATCAGTTTCCTCATCCATTTGCCAGGCTGAAAGGGAACTTTCCATTGTACTCACCGACCCACTGAAGGATTGAGTCCTGAAGGGGCCCGGAGGTGCCCAGCGGTTCCGGTTTAGGGGAGCGAAAGAATACTTTTGAAAATCCCAGGGCTCTGAAACCACTTTTCCCTTTCCTGGGCTGCGCTAAGTAGAGTCCCAGCTGGTGCGCGCGTGTTGAGAGAGAGAGGCGCGACTGGAGGAGTTGGATCCTGGCAGGTCCCCGGAGCCTCTTGCGCGCAGAGCCCCGCGCCGGAATGGCCAGGAGTGGCGGCGGCGCGGCGCGCTGGAGGCTGCGCTTCCCCCGCCCAGAACCCGCCTCACTCGCCCCGGCGCTGCCCACGAGCCTTTGCAGACATCCCTCGCCGAGCAAATCGGCGGGCTGAGCCGGCGGGGCGCCTCGTAAAGAAACGCCCGAAGCCCCACCTAAGAGGAAGGAGCCCCGGCGAGAAGGAAGGAGCAGGGAGCGAGTGGCACAGCGCGAGTCCAGGGCGCCTTGGCCGGCGCCGGGCAGGTCAAAGCGCCAAGCCCTGCCCGCCTCGCGCCAATGGCAGAGTGGGAAGGAAGCACAGGAGCGGGGGCTTCAGCCCTCCCAAGAAAACGTGTGAGGGGGCCGGGACCCCACCAAGTTGAGGAGCGCTCCCATTCCAACAGGGCGCGTACACTGCATCACGTGAAAGATGACCTGGGGCCCCACAACATTTTATTCAAGTTGGCACCCCTGGAAGGAACCCCAAGGACCATCTAGACTAGACCAACCCCGCACAATGCAGGAATCTCAGCGAAAGCATCCAAGACAGGTGCTTAGAAACCTCCACGGAAGGAGAGTCCACAACCTCCTGAAGGAGTCTGTTCCACTGCTGAACATGTCTTACTATCAGAAAGTTCTTTCTGATGTTCAATCAGAATCTCCTTTCTTGTAACTTGAAGCCATGGGTTCAAATCCTACCCTCCAGAGCAAGAGAAATCAAGCATGTTCCCTCTTCCATGTGACAGCCCTTGATATATTTGAAGATGGCTGTCATATCTCCTGACAGTGCCTCTTTTCTATGCCATGCTAAACATTACCAGCTCCTTCAACCGTTCCTCATAAGGCTTAGATTCCAGACCCTTGATCATCTTGGTGGCCCTCCTCTGCACACATTCCAGCTTGTCAACATCCTTCCTAAATTGTGGTGCCCAGAATTAGACACAGTATTTCAGGTGTGGTCTAACTAAGGCAGAATAGAATGGTACTATTGCATAAGATACCGCTGCTGGGCTGCAAACCCCTGCAGCCTTACCTGGAAGTAAATCCCATAGGACTTTAGGATTCCTATAACATCCTTAGGAATGGCTTGTTTTCTATTTCTTGTTGTCTCAGAGATACAGCAAGATGGGTTTAAACCCAGCTGCCTGCAGGACGTTGAAAACACACAGATTCACTTTCATCACAGACTCCCACTGATAATTGTTTGGGTTTTTTTCCCAAAGAAAAGATGGCTTTCCATTCCCGCTCCCTTATTATTTCAAGGCTAGTCTGTTGTGTTGGGACCTCTAAATAAATGTCAAGTTCCGCTTCCAGCAGCAGGCAAGCCTCTGAAAGCAAAACTTCAGAGTAATTAAGATGAGCCATAATGGCCGGTGTGCATACAGTAGCATGCCTCTCCTGCAGACCCTCAAGCACCTCTGCCAGCCATTCAATCCTTCAGTCAATTCGCACCTCCCAGCCATTGATTTCTGCAACCAGATGCCATTCCAAACAGTCGCAAAGGACTTCCTTGGATCCAGGGCTCCGCTCCAGAACTTGATGCTATGAATGCTGGGGCTCAATCTTCGAACAAGTGAAAGAAAGAACACCACTGAGCATGTGCAGAGTACATCTTGCTCATTTATAATCAGCAACATCCCAAGTAAGGGTCAGAATCCATAACGCCAAAAAGGGTTGGACAAACATCAGTGCCATCAAAAGCTTTCAACGCTTCAAAGAGTTCCCAGAACTTTGAGCAAACTCCTGCCTTCTCGCTCCAATAGACCAAAGGGGTTAAAGTTGGTATGGGAAACCTGTTCCACTTTGGATGTCGCCAGACTCCCATTCCAATCAACCCCAGCCAATGTTGTTGGCATCCCTCTGTTTCATGAGACAATGGAGTGCACCTCTGGGATGAAGTCAGCACTGAAGTGACCCCCCCCCTTCCTGGGCACAAGCCTAGGCAGTAGGTAGGTAGGTCCTGAGCTGCCTAGATGACACAACCTCCCTCTCAGCTTTGCTGATGTGGTCCAAAGGAAAGCAGAGCAATACACTGTGTACCAGCTTGGCTGCAGGAATTGCCGGAAGGAGGCATACAAGGCACCATCCAACTACCTTAGGGACTTCACTCCAGATTTGTGTAGGGTTTACTCCTCAGCTTTTTCTTCTCTCAAAGATATCCTGCACGGTAGAGTTTTCCTTCTCCTAGATTGGCTACCTTCCCAAGTTGACCAGCTCTCGTCTGCTTCTCACTTCCCTCTACAGCATGTGCAGAAACTACCTTCTTGACTGTTGGACCCAATATTGGTCCCATCCACCCAATCCCCTGGAGCCTGTCTTCTCATGCAGGGGAAGTTCGTAACTCACTGAAGGTTTGAGACCCATCGGCTACACTCACCTGGTTTAGCCAGTTACAGATAGGTAGCCGTGTTGGTCTGCCATAGTCAAAACAAAAAAATTCCTTCCAGTAGCACCTTAAAGACCAACTAAGTTAGTTCTTGGTATGAGCTTTCGTGTGCATGCACACTTCTTCAGATACCAGTTAGTTCTTGGTATGAGCTTTCGTGTGCATGCACACTTCTTCAGATACCAGTTAGTTCTTGGTATGAGCTTTCGTGTGCATGCACACTTCTTCAGATACCAGTTAGTTCTTGGTATGAGCTTTCGTGTGCATGCACACTTCTTCAGATACCAGTTAGTTCTTGGTATGAGCTTTCGTGTGCATGCACACTTCTTCAGATACCAGTTAGTTCTTGGTATGAGCTTTCGTGTGCATGCACACTTCTTCAGATAGCATGCACACGAAAGCTCATACCAAGAACTAACTTAGTTGGTCTTTAAGGTGCTACTGGAAGGAATTTTTTTTGTTCTGGTTTAGCCAGCCACCCGAAGCTGTTTCCTGGGGAGTGACTGCTGTTGCATGCTGACAGCTTCTTGGAGCCACAGGTGAGAGCTGAGTGCAGGGTGAGGACCTAAGGTGGATCAACTACCCTAGAAGAAGCATGACATGTCCCCCACCAGAAGAACTACCCCTTCCCTAACCCCCCATGTATTCAGTAGTGACTACATTAACAACTGGAGTTCAATAACATCTTGAGGGAACTATGTTGGCTACTTCAGGTTAAATAATGCCTTCTTTTACCCATGGAGATGGTCTTAGGGATGCAGTAATAGGATCACTGTCAAATATTGATTTGAGTTTGGATCCAGAGAGGCTGCCCCAGAAAGTCCCTGACAAACTAGGGAAAAACTAGGCTTTATTTCACCTGGGTTAAAGATCCAGTTTGGCACACACCTCAAGCACATTTGCGCACACATACACACACACACACACACAGAGAGAGAGAGAGAGAGAGAGAGAGAGAGAGGCTGGGAGCCTCAATGGCACCCCCCTGGAGGCTTCACCCAGGGCAAAAAACCCAGCTAGCCCCCTCCGCCCATAGCTACGGCACTGGTTGAAGGTTCTGGTTTGTTTGCATGGAGGTTATGTAACAATGAGGACTCATCTTGATTTGGTTAAATTATTTGAGCAAATAATTATTTGCTATTAGTCATTCAATCACCCCAGATTTTTTAATGCATTTCTCTCTCACTTTCCTAGTTGCAAAAAACTATTTGCTTTATCTCAAGCAGATATGTTGTGCTATGATGACGGAGTGCCTTACTCCACTTAATCACACAAAGCTAAATGTCCTGGTGTGCATGTGAATCCATCTCACAAAAAACTGACATGCTGGAGGTGTGCTCAGTGGGGAAAGAAAGGCACCGCGCATGCTTAGAGGCACTCCAGTCTTTCCTGATTTTTCCTGGGAAAATGTTATTGCAAGGAGGGGTTGGGGCTAAAATCTGGTGAGCCTTGCTTCAGATTAATGACTGTGGGGCAAGAGGAGGGGACATGGAGCATCACAGTCCATTTGTTGTCTCTGGAGCTCATATCTCTGTGATTCTCCTGCGACTCTAAACAATAAATCTGTTCTGTACTACATTTGTGAGAGCCGTTGTCTCCTTGGCAATATTTTCTTCCCAAGTCTCTGGAAAGTGAAAACACATACTTCAATGGCATGCCAAGTTAGATAAGTATTGCCAAAGTAGAAAGGGACAGGCCCTCGGTCCTCCCCAAGCTTGCTCACTCCTTCGCTTGGCTACAGTGCTTGAGATTGTGGGCTTATCATTGCTTGCCTCAAAAGAGCAGAGCAAATTCCCCAGGCATCAAAAGCCATCAGAGTGCTAAGAAAAATTTAATTTTGCACTAAGTGTTTCTCTTCTCTCTCACTTTTACAGAGGTAGTAAGAGAGAAAATCCTAGCATGGCCAATTTCATTAAAAGCCAACGTAATGGGGAAATGCCCTGGATTTTCTCGTTAGGAAGAGCTCCATGCCTGCCTTCTATTAAATGCTTGAGATTAGATATCCCCCCATAGGTACGGAGGAAAGACAAGGCTTCAATATATTATGATCCAGTAGATGTCACTAAACTGTGAAGAGAGGGTAGATGAAGTAAAGCTGTGCTTACTTGCAGAGAGCAAATCTCAAATCTGGTGTTGACTGTTTTTTTAAAGTGACTTTTATCTGTAAAACCTTCATTTGTGTGCATACAGGATGGAACAGGATTTCTAAGCATTTCAGAGATTCCAAGGCCCTTTGATACCCCTTGGTCATAGGAAACTGTGTTCTACAGAGTCAGACCAGTGATCCATCTAGCTCAATTTTTTCTGCATTGGCAGAAGGCGTCCAGTTGTTTCGCAGCCTTACTTGATGATGCCGGGGATTGAACTTTGAATCTTCTGAATGCAAAACAGATACACCACCAACGAACTATGACCTTTCTGCATCGGTTCTAAATGTTCTGCTTCTTTGTTGAGAGGTGACCATGTCAGGACTCTATAGACACTTTTCTGGATCCCAGCTGGAGACTTAGCAGACCACTGATGCAGAGGGGGGCAGCACTAGCACTTGTGCACACAGCACAAGAAGTGAAGGAAGCCTTCCAGTACATTTTGTTTTTCCAGCTCCCACAAGGATCTGGAGCATTTCTGTTGTAGCAGAGGAGGGGAGGTGCAGATCCTAAGCATTGCATAGCATCCTTTGGCCTTCTGTGGGGTCAGAGAACTTCACCCTCTTGTTATAGATATAGAGGACAGGGCCCCTACTATACCGCTTAAGGGTGTCATCATCTTCACTCTTCTGCTTAAGTGGAAGGTCTGAACTTTCCTAAAGATGATTGCAGTGGCAGAAGCGCTTGCTCAACCCCTAAAGCTCCTTTTTGAACATGAGAAGTTAAGGAAAACAAAAGGAAGAGC